CTGCAGCTGGCCCATGATTTTACCTGCCTGTGCTCAGGAAGAAGATCATCAGGAGACTGCTATCCTGCAAAAGACTATCAGGCTTTGAAAGCTAAATTGGTAACTCATTATCTTTTGAAATTTGAAAAATATTCAGATACTTGTGTATAAGTTTTTCAGAACCACTTCTGAAATTGATGCACAGTTTTGTTTCTCACACATTGTCATTTTTTTGAAGAAAATAATGAATGATGAAACACAGTGAAACTGTGACTCCAAAAGTCTTTCTTTTATTGAGCTACTTTGATAGCTAATTGTAAACTATGGCTCTTACAAATTTACTTTTGAATAATTAAATGTTAAAATAAATTCAATTAAAGATAATAATGTGGTATTTGAGACTTGGGTTTGGTTTGAGTCATATGTTCAACTTCTATGGTTACTTGACTTTTTAAAGCCCTTTTAAATCAATCATAATAATTTATTCTAAATAATTTAACATGCTTTGAGCTTAGAAATTAAGAGGGTATTTTAACATTTTAACAATGTTATAAATAATTATCAGAATAAATACCATAAAGGATGTGGAATTTTTTAATACACATATGAACATACACACACAGAACACCAACATTAAATTAAATAGAACAAACATGTTTATCTCTTTAACACAAATAACTGACACAGCAATGCATATAAACAGACGTGACAACCTTTAAGATACAGACTAAATACAATTACAAATCCAAAAATGCATTTTAATTTAAAAACAGCCCCAAGTAAAAAATGGCAGCTGAACACTGATCATCTGTGTCCACTCCACTGAGAACTAAGGCACAGATTTGCAAGAAGGAAGTGCAGAGCGGTGTATCATCTATGATTAGAAAGTCTGTGCAATGACCTGACACACCGATTGAAAGCCACAATTGAGTAAAGCTGTTCTGTAATATGTTCACTGACCATCCAAAATGTTCTGATTTGGAGCCAATAAGGGGTAGAAGACAGAGAGAGGCAAAGTAAGAATATTAGCTGATAATAATACAGTCTTCTAAATAATTATTCTACATAATTATATAGAATATACATATATTCTTCTACATGCTTCTACATAATTATTTCAAGAAACTTGCAAATCATTTTCATAGGGTTCTTTCCTTTGAAATATGTGAATTTGCAAAAAAGTGTTTATATAGGAATCAAACATATCCAAAAGCTTATATATAAAATCCCTATAAACACATGAGGTTTTTGTGTACCAGAAAACTTTTGACCAAAGGTGCTGAGAAAATAAACGTTTGAAAAGTATGAAAAAAACTATAAATTATAGTATCAAAAGTTAAATAAAAATAAATGGAAAATATGCATCAATTAATTTGTAATTGAGTTTGATTCTAATGTTTACCAAATGTGATTTTTGCCTACTTATACTAGTGACACAATAGGGGATGATATTTAAATACTATGGATTTAACATCTATACTCCTAGCACAAAAATGCATTTTTAAGGAAATTCAATGAAACTGCGAAGTCTAAAGCCTTTCTCATCTGAAGCAAACTATCTTTATTGAGTTTCTGTGCAATTAATGCAAATGAAATCAAATAAACTAATAAATACTGATATTCACTTTAAGTATTTGCAATACTCTATTCAGAATTGATCAGTCTTTGGTGGAGAAATTACTCACATGCTTTATAAATTTTAGTTGTGATTTGAATAAAATATGCTTCTTCACTGTAGCATCAAAATTCCTCAAAATTTATATGAAATGAATGCTCTCTGAAGAAATGAATTTTAGGTACTTTTAAGTTAAGATTTTTAGGAGGCAGTAGTTCATGTCATCAAATTGTGGTATTTGTTGATGAATTTAGTTTGACCCCTTGAGTATAGAGATAGAAATATTGGCTATATGGGAACAACTTACACAATATATGTTTTTTTTTTAGAGAGCAAAATATGAATCTCAGTAGAGAAAATTTTTGATGAATGTTACCAGATCTCTGTCCTATATTAAAGTATAAATGGCTTCATAAAAAATGGTGGACAGAAATATGACATTCTTAATTGTCACAGAATAACACAGAATTCATGTGATTTCTAAGTGACTGGGATAAATGAGAACATGATTTAAAGAAACTTCCTGAGATCAGAGGCTTCAGATTTAGCCCTTACCTTGATAAATATTCAGTAATGATTCAGTAAGCATTTCTCATATGAAATGAGTAACTTAGTTAATTAAAGCATGAATGTTCTAAAATAAAACTGATTAGCATTTTAAGTCAATGAAACAAACTTATAGTTGAATATCAAAAGCATTTTCTGCACGAAATGGATCTCCCATATATGAAACTGTTTCTTCAAGCATCATTTTAAAAAGAGGCAATTTTTCATTCTGTCTTTAAGAATCATATCAACTTTCATCATTCCAGGAAACTGTCCTAGCATCCACATACTCCAGTTGAGGAGACACACAGAGATGGAAGGAAAGGGGAAGAAAAAGCTAGAGTCCTGGATTTGACTCCCTCCCAAGAGTTTAATCCACTCCCCCACATTCCAATTTACAGTAAAATGAAATTGGCACATTAACCTGAAAGGAAAAAGAAAGAAAGCAAAGTGACCAAATTTATTCATTAAATTCAGGCATAATTAAGTAAATAATTAAATAATGAGTTTATGCATATCCAAAAAAGGAAATTGGCTATGAAATAACAAAATTAGCTTGTACTTAGTAAAGAAGGACGGGGGGTGGATCTAGAAATGATAGAGAGTGAGGTTAAAACTGAGAACTGGCTGTGGTGATTGTGACGTGGTTTACAGAAGTGTGAAAGCAAAGATCGTAAGAGGGGGTGTCATCTTCCTCCTTCGTCAGCAAGCCTCCAGTTCACTACAGAAACTAGAGACGTTGTGGAGCTCTTTAAGTACATGGAGGAAGATAACAAATCAGTAAAGGTTGGACCAAATACATGAGTAATAAGGAATGGAGCTCAGCAGGAAATTTTTATTTCGTTCATGATATACCTAGTCATTTATTATAGTCATTAAGAAGGCCTCGAAAGCATCAATCATGTCTTTGACAAATTAAACTGCATTCCATGTACCCTCAAAGCAAAATCTCTTGTGGAAGGCAAGCCAAAAATGGATGATATGGGGCAGTGGTTGGGGAAAGAAAGAGAGGAGGGGAGAGAGAGAGAGAGAGAGAGAGAGAGAGAGAGAGAGAGAAACAAACACAGAGATGCTAATTTGAGATAAATAAATGAAAAAAGGCACAAAAGAGAGAGAGAGAGAGAGAGAGAGAGAGAGAGAGAGAGAGAGAGAAATGAAACCAAACACTGAGATGCTATTTTGAGATTAATAAATGAAAAAGGGCACAAAAAGAAGGTAAAATGGTAACGCGAGAAGGGACTAAATAGAGACAGGAAAGAAAGCATACACAAATTCTTAATGATCCAAGTTTGCTCTGGGCACAGTCCTGTGTTCCTTGGAACTTATGGCATTTTAGGTTAGTTATCATGTTCATATAAATATATTTCAATGCTCAGTACTCGTAGTGTCATGTATGTCTATGAGTTGCTCTTAAAACAAAAATAAAGTATAATTTATCTAGTATCTAATAAAATTCCTTATGCCATGGTTTAACCAAACAACAAGCTAAACATTTGTTTAAAGATTCATACAACTTTTAAAAAAACATCTAATGTTCCCTCTAATTTTCATTCTGAGTAGCGCAGCGGTTCATGCATACTTACCATCTTTCATGCTGGTGATATAAAATAAATGAGCTTGAAGTGTTAGAACACCTTGAACACTTGCTCCAAGTTTAAAGGACATATCTATCTTTCTGAAGCTTCCTTTAAAAGCTTCTTGGCAGTCCATTCATGGAAGTTTATAAAGCTCATTTACTAAATTCCCCAAAGCTACTACTCTGCTACACATAGTATATAAATTACAAACTAATATTGAGGTATTAACAATTTTTACAAGTCATTCAATCAAAACCCCTACTTATTTCATGTGATTAAAGGTATATTTGCCTGAAATGCACTTTCTTTCACATGTCAGACTAGTGGACTATCAAGAAGAAACATATAACTTTGCCAGCAGAAAATGAATGTAAATGCAGAGCAAATACATCCCACGAGGTGGACTTGAGTTATCTTTCTGTATTTGACAGACAAACACCTCCAGGATGAAGGAAAGAAAGGGCAGAAAATCACATAGTTTTAAATTCTAATGAATTCAAAGAGTTTATATAAAACATATTATCAATCTTTAGTACTGGAGGTCATTCCGCAGGAGTAGTCATTACTAAAACAATCTTTATTTTTTCTGTTTACTACCATGATCACCAAAATATTCATAGTAGTTCCAGCTTTGGAAGTTAAATTTACATTTTTGAAGCAGATTCATCCTGATATTCATATGCTAAATATTAGATATATTTAAACATAAAAAATTTAGAATAGACTCTAATGTGCAATTTTGGAGAGCTTAATGGAAGAATAACTTTAGAGTACATGTAAAATAGGGTTGGGTGTTTAATAAAATGATCAGCTTTGTATAAAATAATTCAAATGTCAAGAGTTTTTCTTCCGGTAAAAAAAATAAATGGACAATTAAAATAACCATAGAAAGTTGGAAGCAAGTTATGTTTCTGCCTTTAATGTGTCTACCATAGCAGATGAGAAGACAGGGCAGAGTAGGATGGCTGACAATCAGACTGCGTGGTATTTTACTAGTGGAGTATATCAAAAAATAAGTGATTTAATCAATAACCACATTTCTATACCGGCCTAAAACACATAATGACTATAGGTGTGGGATATTAGAATTGCTAATCATTTTACCTTAAATAAAAATATTTTTACTTTATTTCGCTTGTACTTAGTTCACATAAACTGAACAAAGATGCCTTCTTTCACTAGAAACATCTGGGTTTATTTTGGAATAATTTAAGATACACTTTTTTTGGTTTCTCATTATTAGACTGATGTACTATTAAGTAAAAACAAAAAAAAATCTTGGCTTTTTGTAAGAACATATTTTATGTACGATTGAAATTTTTACAACACTCCGAAAAAGCCGTCTGATGTTAGATTTAAGAATAAAATCAAAAGCATTTTCTGACACAGTACACATGAAAAATTGGAAATCCCAATATCTTCAATAGAAGTTGTAGAAAGTGTAAGTCTCCTTAGAGCTTGACACCCACTTGACACATCAGAAAATAAGGTACTATACTGTAAACAAAAAAGTACAGTAAAGGACATTTGTAAATTTACACAAGAATAGTTCATAAACATTTTGGTCTTTCCATAACAGTACATATAAAATGAATAAAAAACCTTTAGACAACTGTCATCACTCTTGTTTGACCACTTATCACTTATATGCACACAGACACATCTATATAGCAATAAACTGATGCACCGTTACATGGATATTGAACTAGGATTACTGCTTGTAACTGAGATGTGCATTATCCAATCAACATTATCCATAGTTGAGATACTCTTACATTATGTATTCTTGTCATGTCATATCTATAAAAACATGAAAATATAACTTTACATTATTTGAATTATTTACATTAGTTCAAGCTTGACAGAGAAAAATTGATAAGCTTAATTTTTGGAAGAATAGGCCCAGAGGTACAATAAATAGCATTGATTTTATATATTCATCTTTTTAAAAACTCATTTTAAGTACAATATGGAAACAATTAGTCTGCAATTTGGTCATTCTGGCATTTATCATTGAGACTTAAAATGTACCTCCAACATCCCTGATGAGGAAATATGTCCTAAAATTATATTGTGTTGTCTTGGAATTTGTGAGAAGGGACAGCAAACTTCAGTAAAGACTATCAGGAAACCACATGCTACCATGTAGAATGCAAGTGGTTGCTTTCAAATCCTACCGACTTTCATTCTTGGAAACTAACTAGTAAGAGTGCTTGAAAAAGCACTTGGGAAGATGCTGAATATTACAAAGAGATGATTATGCAGAAAGAAATAAGAATGTGAATCTTTAGAGTAAATACTGGATGTAAGTTTCTTTTAACCCTAAAGCAATTTTATTTGGAGGACATGAATGGAAATTAAAGTCATTTTAAGAAGGAAACGATAGATAAATTTAGAAACTAGAGGAAGATAGTCTCTTTAGTCAAAAGTTACAGAAATGGGATACTACCCAAAGTAGGTATACTAAAATACCCATTCCTCCTGAGGCATTAAAACAGTAGGATATATTACGGTTGATTTTGCAGATGGAAATGTAAGGAAACTATATGGTGGATGACTACGGTGTTTGAGAACATATATCAGCTACTAACATTTAAAAAATAAAAGCTTAGGCTTTGTTTATAGAATCTGGCCAATGTGTAATTATGTCAAGGGCTGTTTTCCAGGCCTTTTTGACTTTGTTTAAAGTCAAAACTGCTCCTCTGCAAGCCTAAACACTTAAATAGTGGAACCTTGCCTAGTCTGGTATTTGTTTGTATATCAGCTTTTTAAACCTATAAGCATTTATCTACATAGACTAAATGCTTTTTAAGTATTTCATTATATATAGTATGGCATATAAAAAAGTTTCAGATGTACTATTTGGGGAACAAGTTCCTACCTGAAATAAAGAACTCTGTCTTCCTTTTAAAGAGTGACATTTTCTTTGGGATCTAACAACACAATACCAGTGTCTTCAAACTCACTGTATTTATGACCAAACTGTAGCTAAGTAAAATTAATTGGACCACTTGCAAATAAAACGATAGAAAAATGTTTATTTCAAATGTCAAGCATTGCCAAGTAGTTTTATATTAACACCAAATGTTAAAGAATAAGATACATTAAAGTTTTAATAACAATATTAAATTACAAGACTGGAATTTTCTCTGTTTCCTTCCTCAGCATTTACATATTTGGCTTTGAAAAATACGGAACTGATACCATGAGCCTTTTTTTCAATCGTTTTCTCACTGAGTTTGACTGTTTTTGTCTAATCCAACCTGTATGGAAGCAAATTTATTTAAAAGCCAGTTTGTGAAAATACCTAAAAATATTTTTTTTTATTTTAAATGCCATTACCAGCATGCACTGTTCGTACTGTTTGAGACCCCTTCTTACGATGTCAAGTGTGCTTAAGTCATTATGAATCAAGAGACTAACAATAGTGGCTGCGGAAACGGGCTTGTTGTCTGTACAAAGACTTCAGTTAAATGATAGTACTTCCATGTTAGCTGTGCATGTCCACCACGCGTCGTCTGTAATTCAGAGTAGAAAAGGATGCTCTGTGTTGAATTAATCTTTCTTACAATTGAAGGTGAACGCCACATACTTAAGAATTCTTGGCTGAAAGAAAAGCCTTCAAGATACCGGATGCCTCTCACCACTTTGACAATAAACAGACAAGGAAACCATTGTGTAAGGCACTCAGAAGGTTCCTATCAATCACGAGAGATCAGTCACACTGACATTCATTCCCATGCCAGGACTCACGTAAGGGACAGCATGCACTGCTTTGGGAAATTCTGGAGTCATAACACGTCCATTTTCTCCAGTACTTCCTGTAATTGACAGCCTTGCCTTGTTCCTCATGGCATCACTCAAGGTCATCTTAAATGAGAGAGGAGGGAAAGAAAGAAAAAAAACAGAGTCATACGTTATGGTTTTCATAGGCATCCAGAGTAAAGGCGGTGCTGTTTTGAAAAGTTTACTTGTATCTGAAAGCTTCTAGCAAATGAAAGCGAACAGTGCAAAGCTGAACT